GTCTCTCTCCATCTCTCTCTCTCTCTCTCTCTCTCTCTCTCTCTCTTCCTCTCCCTCTTTCCCTCTCTCTCTCTCTGCTCTTTCTCTCCTCTCTCTCTTTCCTCTCCCTCTCTCCTCTTCTCCTCTCTCCCTCTCCTCTCTCTCTCTCTCTCTCTCTCTCTCTTCTCTCTCTCTCTCTCCTCTCCTCTCTCTCTCTCTCTCTCTCTTCCTCCTCTCCCATCTCCTCTCTTCTTAACCTCTCTCCTCTCTCCTCTTAACCTCTCCCACCCTCTCTCTCTTAACCATCTCCCACCTCTCTCTCTCTTAACCTCTCCCACTCCTCTCTCTCTTAACCTCTCATCCTCTCTCTCTTAACTCTCCCACTCCCTCTCTCTTAACCTCTCCCACTCTCTCTCTCTCTTTCCTCTCCCTCTCCACTCCTCTCCTCTTCCTCTCTCTCTCTCTAACCTCTCCCACTCTCTCTCCTCTTAACCTCTCCACTCCTCTCTCTCTCCCTCCCACTCCTCTCTCTCAACCTCTCCCACCTCTCTCTCTATCCTCTCCCACTCCTCTCTCTCTTAACCTCTCCCACTCCTCTCTCTCTTAACCTCTTCCCACTCTCTCTCTCTCTCTCTCTCTAACCTCTCCCACCCTCTCTCTCTTAACCTCTCCATCCTCTCTCTAACCGCTCCCCCCTCTCTCTCTAACCTTCCCACTCTCTTCTCTCTTAACCTCTCTTCTCTTAACCTCTCCCATCCTCTCTCTTAACCTCTCCACTCCTCTCTCTTCTTAAACCCTCTCCTCTCTCTCTCTCTTAACCTCTCCCACTCCTCTCTCTCTCTCTTAACTCTCCCACTCTCTCTCTCTACACTCTCCCACTCTCTCTCTCTCTAAACCTCTCCCACTCCTTCCTCCTTCTCCCATCCCTCTCCCTCTTCCCCCATCCCATCCCCTCCCTCTCTCTCCACCCTCCCTCTCCAAACCCCCCCCTCCCGTCCCCTCTCCCCACCCTCCCCCCTCCCCTCCACCCCTCCCTCTCCCTTCTCCCCTCCCACCCTCCCCTTCTCCCTTCCTTCCCCTCTCCCACCCCTCCCCTCCCTCTCCCTCTTCTTCACCCTCCCCCTCTTAACCTCTCCCACTCCTCTCTCTCTCTCCACTTCCTCTCTCCCATCTCCTCTCTCTCTCTAACCTCTCCACTCCTCTCTCTCTCTTAACCTCTCCCACTCCTCTCTCTCTTAACCTCTCCCACTCCTCTCTCTCTTAACCTCTCCCACTCCTCTCTCTCCTCTCTCTCGTCTCCCACCCTCTCCCCCTCTTCCCCTCTCCATCCCCCTCCTCTCTTCCCTCTCCCACCCTCCCCCTCCCTTCCCCTCTCCCACACTCCCTCCTTCCCCTCTCCCACCCCTCTCTCCCTCTTCCCCTCTTCCCACCTCCCTCTCCCTCCCTTCCCCTCTCTCCACCCTCCCCTCCCTCTTCTCTCTCTTAACCTCTCCCACTCTCTCCTCCTCTCCCACCCCTCCCCCTCTCCTCTACCTCTCTCCCACCCCTCTCTTCCTCTTCCCTTCTCCCACCCCTCCCCCTCTTCCTCTACCCTCTCCCACCCCTCCCCCTCTTCCTCTCCCCTCTCCTCCCTCCCCCTCCCCCTCCCCCTCTCCCACCCCTCCTCTCCCTCTCTCCCTCCCCTCTCCCTCCCTCTCCCTCTCTCCCACCTTTCCCCCTCTCTCCGGGTAAACCCAAGACATCACCCAAGATATCACTGCGTTCCGACTTCCCATTCGCGTCAGAAGCTTTACCTGAGCTCGTCGGTGTGGGAGGCGCCGCTGGCTGGTCTCGAAGGGCGGGTGCTCCCTCGACGCCCACTCGCTCCGCTCTGGTGGGAGAGGGGGGGGGGGAGGGAAAAGGGGAGGGAACAGAGGAGAGGGGAGAGGGGAGCGGAGCAGGGGAGAGGGAGAAGGGAGGGAAAGAGAAGCAGGAGAGGGGAGAGGAAAGGGAGGAGGGAAAGAGGAAGCAGGGAGCAGAGAGAGGGAGGGAGCAGAGGGGACAGAGGGGAGAGGGGAGAGGGGAGGGGAGCAAGAGGGGAAAGGGGAAGGGACAGAGGGAGACAAGAGGGGAAAGGGGAGGGGAGCAGAGAGGGGAGAGGGGAGGGGGCAGATGGGAGAGGGGAAGGGAGCAGAGGGAGAGGGGAGAGATAGGGGAGGGAGCAAAGAGGGAGAGGGGGGGAGCAGAGGGGAAAGGGGAGGGAGCAGGGGGAAGGGGAGGGGCAGAGGGAGAGGGAGGGAGCAGAGGAGAGGGGAGGGAGGCAGAGGGAGAGGGGAGGGGAGAGGGAAGAGGGGGAGGGAACAGAGGGAGGGAGGGAACAGAGGGAGAGGGGAGGGAGCAGAGGAGAGGGGAGGGAACAGAGGGAGAGGAGAGAGCAGAGGGAGAGGGGAGGGAGGAGGGAGAGGGGAGAGGAGAGGGAGCAGAGGGAGAGGGGGAGGGAACAGGAGGGAGAGGGGAGGGAAGCAGAGGGAGAGGGAGGGAGCAGAGGGGAAAGGGGAGGGAGCAGAGAGAGGAGGGAAAGAGAAAAGCAGGGAGAGGGAGAGGGGAGGGAGGAGGGAAGCAGGGAGATAGAGAGCAAGGAGAAGGGAGGAAACAGAGAGAGGAGGGAGGGAGGAAGGGAGAGGGTAGAGGGGAGGAAGCAGGGAGATAAAGAGCAAGAAGTGAGGGAGCAGAGAGAGAGAGAAAGGAGAGGGGAGTAGACAGGGACAGAGAAAGGAGAGGGGAGAGAGCAGAGAGAGATAAATGAGACAGAAGAGGGGAGGGGGAGGAGGAAGGTAAGAAGGGAGGCATTGGAAGAAGGAAACGGAAAAGGAGAAGAGAGGGAAGAGGGAGGGGTAAGGGAGATGGAAAGAAGGAAGAATAGGAAGAAAGAGAGGAAGAGGGAGGGGTAAGGGAATGAAAGAAGGAAGAATAAAAGAAGAAGGAGAGGGAAGAGGGAGGGGTAAGGGAGATGGAAAGAAGAAGGGAGAACAAAAGGAAGGAGAAAATGGAAGAAGAAGGGGAAAGAAGAGAAAATAGGGAAGGAGAAATTGAAAGAACGAAGAAGGACGGGAAAGGGGGAAGGGGGAAAAAGGGTAAATAGAGGGAACGAGGATTAGATTAGAAAATAAACGCGGGAATAAAGCATGAGTAACAGTAAATTCATAATGTTATCTTTTTCTCTTGAAATATAAAACTGATCACCTAAAAAAAAAAAAAAAGCACGAATTATATAACGAACAAATCTGAATCAAAACAAACCCCCTCCCTCCTCCCCTTTTCCCCTCCCCCTCCCCCTCCCCCCTCCCCCTCCCACTCCCCCTCCCCTTTCCCTCCCCCTCCCCTCCCTCCCCTTTCCCCTCCCCCTCCCCCTCTCCCCCCTCACCTCAGACTGCGCAGGGGAGACACCCCCCGAGGGGCTAAGGGGACCCCCGCCGGTGGGACTGAGAGGGGGCGCTACCGAGGGCGTGTCCCCCCCTCCGTGGTGCCCCCTGGCGCTGGGGAGGTCCAGGTACCTTGAACTCGGGAAGGTGCGCTTGCTGGGGAGGATTAAATCGAATTAGATTGCGAATTATTTATCAAAACAGATGTAAGTGAACAGATGTAGATTAACAGTTAGATCAAGGACGAGAATCCCGTGAAAATTGAGCGCTAGATAAGGAGATATAAATCTTAGGAATGGGAAGATTAATATAAATTAGATAACGATTTATTTATCAAAAACAATGTAAGTTAACAGACATAGATTAACAGTTAGATCAAGGACGGATTCCTATCAAAATCGAGCGTTAGATTAAGAGCAATATAAATCTTAAGAATCAGTGTCAGATTATCGGCAAGATTAATATGAATGGGAAGATTAATATAAATTAGATTATGAATTATTTATCAAAACAGATGTAAGTGAACAGATGTAGATTAACAGTTAGATCAAGGACGAGATTTCCCGTGAAATTTGAGCGTAAGATTAAGAGCAATATAATCTTAAGAACCAGTATCAGATTATCGGCAAGATTAATATGAATGGGATGATTAATATAAAAGATTAACTGTAACTTCAACAGCGAGATAAAGAGGTTAAATTAAGAGTCAATTAAAGTAATACGAAAATGTTAAGAGCAAGTTAGACTAACGGTCATATAATATAATATAATATAATCATATAAAATAACCAGAGCAAGAGTAACGAGAGATCATGAGCATTACAAAAAATAAGATTAGTTAGAAAGAATCAGATCAAGAGTCGTGCCAAGAGTGATCTTACGATTGTTATTGAAGAACACGTCAGACTAAGTACGAATTCACAAGTGCGATTGACTAGGATCAGAAATAACATCAAGAACAGCCCTGAATGTAAGAAGTAAGAGCTAATGTAAGAGTAAACATTAACAGATTAAAGAGTAAGAAGTTGAAAGATTATCTCGCTCGTGTGAGAGGAGACTGAGGGATTGTTTGAACTGACACAAGACTCATATAATGGTAAGAGCTTAAAGAGTAAGAGAAAAAGAGTAAAGAAGTTAAGCGGAAGATTGTCTCGCACGTGTGAGGGAGACAGGGGATTGTTTTTGAAATACACCTGTTAACAAACAGATCTGTAAAAAAAACACCTGTTGTTTTGGCTTAACACCTGTTGGAGAGGGAACAGGTATGTAAAAAAAAACACTTTGTTTTGGTTAACACCCTTGGAGGGGGGAAACAGATATGTAAAAAAAAAAAAAACACCTGCCTATCGTTGGCCTCAACCTGTTGGAAGTAGGGAACACAGATATGTAAAATAAAACTTGCCTTTGAACTTAACACCTGTTTGACGGGGGGGGGGAACATCTGTAAATACACCTGCTGCTTTGGCCTTAACACCTGTAGAGGGGAAACAGATCTGTAAAAAAAAACCTGTTGTCTTTGCTAACACCTGTTAGAGGCAAACAGATCTAAAAAAACCACCTGTTGTCTTTTGGCTTAACACTGTTAGAGGAGAAACAGATCTGTAAAAAAAAAAAAACTGTTGTCTTTGGCTTAACACCTGTTACAGGTGAAACAGATAAAAAAAAAACACCTGTTGTCTTTGGCTTAAACCTGTTAGAGGAGAAACAGATCCATAAAAACACCTGTTGTCTTTGGCTTAAACACCTGTTAGAGGGAACGATCTGTAAAAAAAAAACTGTGTCAGTTATCTAAAAAACACCTGTTGTCTTTTGGCTTAAACCAGATCATAAAAAAACACCTGTTGTCTTTGGCTAACACTGTTAAGGGGAAACAGATCTGTAAAAAAACACCTGTTGTCTTGGCTTAACACCTGTTAGGGGGAAACAGATCTGTAAAAAAAAAAACACTGTTGTCTTTGGCTTAACACCTGTTGGAGGGGAAACAGATCTGTAAAAAAACACCTGTTGTCTTTGGCTTAACACCTGTTAGAGGGGGAAACAGATCTGTAAAAAAAACACCTGTTTGTCTTTGGCTTAACACCTGTTAGAGGGGGAAACAGATCCATAAAAAAACACCTGTTGTCTTTGGCTTGACACCTGTTTAGAGGGGAAACAGATCTGTAAAAAAAAAACTGTTGTCTTTGGCTTAACACCTGTTAGAGGAGAAACAGATCTGTAAAAAAAACCCTGTTGTCTTTGGCTTGACACCTGTTGAGGGGAAACAGATCTGTAAAAAAAACACCTGTTGTCTTGCTTTAACATTTGTTGCAGGGGGAAACAGATCTAAAAAAAAAAACACGTGTTGTCCTTGGCTTAAAACCTGTCAAAGGAGAACACCTGTTGTCTTTGGCTTAACACCTGTTGGAGGGGTATGCAGCGGTTGAACATCTGTTTCGACTTCTTATATAGAATGGCATTATAAGGCAAGATTGTTTTGGAGGACATCTGTTAAAGGAACAGATGCCGGTTCAACTTTCCGTTTTCCCGAACACCTGTTAAGGGAGGAGGGAACAAGGCCTTGGGGTACCTGTTGGGGGATAACCAGGAACACCTGTTAAAGGAAAGTTGGCGGATAGTGGGTATATGACACCTGTTAATGAAAAAGAACATGAAACAGGTGTTATATCAAAATTGTTTGACAAACCGGATGCAGGGAGATAGCTGTTTAGGAATTGCCAAGGTACGTGCTAATACCTGTTGAAACTTGATAATTTATAGAACAACACCTGTTTAAAAAGGAAGACCTATACAGCCAACACTTGTTAACAAAGAGCGGTTTAAAAACGATTTTCTCTGCCGCGACAAACAAATGTAACAAAAACCTATTCATGGAAGAGCAAATCCGAGACAACACCTGTGATGTACAAAGGAATAGTCATAAGATACGCAACAACACCTGTAAAAGGCTGTGGATCACCTGTTCGAATAACGGAAATGTCCTAAGCACCTGTTAGAATAATAGAAATATCCCAAGGACCTGTTGATGGCGTGTAGATCACCTGTTAGTAACATCCTAATCACCTGTTAGAATAGCGGAAACATCCCAACTACCTGTTGACCTGTTACGCTTAGCGAAACACCTGTTGAACGGTACCTGTTGAGTGAAATGTAAACACCTGTCATAAAGAGAAATTACAACATAAATTGCATCTGCTGGAAAACTATTCCGATTGAAAACAAAAAATCAACAAATCAATAAATAAACAAACAAACAATTAGAAACAAAAGGATAAAAGACAAATATATATCAGGAACTTAGATAATATTGGGTGTGTGGGGAAATTATGCAAATGTGACATCTATGAAAGTATATTTTTTTTACAGCACGAAAATATTTGTTAAGAAAAATAATAATAAAAAAATAAACATGTTATTAGGGTTATAGGTGACTGAAAAGATGACTAATCACGTACCATTAATTAAGAATTTATCGTATTAATTTGAAATTGCAAATATGAGTAACAAAGAATATCAATTCTATCAAAAACTGACAAAAAAAAACATCAATGTACGAAGTCTAGTGTGAATCCATCAAAACCAGTCAAAAAAACAATTCCAGAAAAAAACAATTTTTGAACAAACATCCCAGATATGGAAGATGATGACGTATCATACGGCAGAGCGCTTCTTTGCAATGGCAAGATCTCGGGTTTGCGCCTTGCCAAATACCCCCCCCCCTCCCTGGCGACTCAGCTGTGAGTGAGTACCGGCATCACCTGGGGTTAAGTTTTATATATATATATATATATATATATATATATATATATATATATATATATATTATATATATATATATATATATATATATATATATATATATATATATATATATATATATATATATATATATGTTATATATATACATATATTATATATATATATATATATATATATATATATATATATATATATATATATATATATATATATGTATATATATATATATATATATATATATATATATATATATTATATATATATATATATATATATATATATATATATATATACATATATATATATATATATATATATATTATATATATATATATAATATATATATATATATATATATATATATAAAGACAAGCGCGCGCGTGACCTCACACATCTTATACACTAAAAAAAAAAATCCTTTGGCCTCACTTATAGAGCGCGAGGAGGTGGTTGTACTGGTCGATGGGGAGGTTGATGATGGTCCTCCGGAGGGCGGTCTCCTCCTCCTTCAGCTGGTCCTGCAGCCGCTCCTGCTTCGCCTTCGCCCGCGCCTCCTCCCGCCGGGTCGTCTCTTCCTCCTCCGCCAGTTGCTCCTCGCGGGTCTCTGCCTGGGGGGGAGGAGGAAGTGGGGAGGAGGTGAGATGGAGGTGGTGGGTGGTGGGGGTGGGGGTGGGGGTGGGGGTGTGTGTGTGTGTGTGTGTGTGTGTGTGTGTGTGTGTGTGTGTGTGTGTGTGTGTGTGTGTGTGTGTGTGTGTGAGGGAGATCCAGGCTCCACGTGGGCACCGAAGCCCTCGCCCGGCGGGAATCAACATGGCAGTAATGGCTGGCCTTGGACGGGTCTTAGATCGCACATCGTCGTTTGTTCATCTACTTGTGTTGTCTCTTCCAACAATGAAGAGTCAACAAAGGGCAACAAAGAATAACTCACAAAGAATAACTCTCATGGTCTTGTTCTGTAAGACTTCAAGGGGTTTGAGAACATTTTGTGGCAACATACTAAGAACCGGGCTCGCATAGTCTATCATGGACCTAACAAGGGAAATGTACATCAAGTAGAGAGAAAGAGAGAGAGAGAGATAGACAGACAAACAGAGAAAGAAAGAAAGAGACAGACAGACAGAGAGAACATGTGCGTGTCTGCTTGAAGGTTTTATACAATTTCCCATAAAATATTTCCACCCCGAGAATACCCAACCATCACCCTCCCACTAACCCCCAACCCATCCCCTACCCCCAACCCTCCTCCTACCCACCAACCCTTCCCCTACCCCAATCCTCCCCACTAACCCGCAACTCTCCCCTAACCAACCTAACCCCCGCCCTCCTCCTAACCCCCACCTCCCTCTGACCCCCACCCTCCCCTCTGACCCCACCCTCCCCCCCCCAACCCCCCCCTAACCCCCACCTCCTCCAAACCCCCACCCTCCCCCCTAACCCCCCCCCTCCCCCTAACCCCCCTCCCTCTGACCCCCCACCCTCCCCCCCTAACCAACCTCCCCTAACCCCACCTCCCTAAACCCCACCCTCCCCCCTCCCCCTAACCCCCAACCCTCCCCCCTCCCCACCCTAACCCCAAACCCACCCTCCCCCTAACCCAACCCTCCCCCTAACCCCCCTAACCCTCCCCCCAACCCCCTAACACCCCAACCCTCCCTACCCCCCCCCCCAACCCTCCCCGCCCCCCTAACCCCACCCCAACCCTCCCCCCTAACCCCCCAAACCCTCCCCCCAACCCCCCAAACCTCCCCCCTAACCCCCAACCCCCTCCCCCTAACCCAACCCAACCTCCCCCTAACCCCTCAACCCCTAACCCCCCTAACCCTCCTCCCTAACCCCCAACCCCCACCCTCCCCCAACCCCCAACCCTCCTCCTCCTCCCTCACCTGCGAACACTGCTCCTGGAGACTCGCTTAGTGGGGAGGCCTAACCCCCAACCCTCCCTAACCCCCCCCTCCCCCCCCTAACCCCCCAACCCTCCCCCAAACCCCTTAACCCTCCTCCTCCACCTGCGAACACTGCTCCTGGAGACTCGCCAGCCGGGCCTCCAACCCCAACCCTCCCCCCCAACCCCCTGCGAACACTGCTCCTCCTCCAACCTCCCCAACCCCAACCCTCCTCCTCCTACCGCGAACACTGCTCCTGGAGACTCGCCAGCCGGGCCTCCAACCCCAACCCTCCCCCCCCCTAACCCAACCCTCCTCCTCCTCCCTCACCTGCGAACACTGCTCCTGGAGACTCGCCAGCCGGCCTCCAACCCCAACCCTCCCCCCAACCCCCTAACCCCCCTCCTCCTCCCCTCACCTGCGAACACTGCTCCTGGAGACTCGCCAGCCGGGCCTCCAACCCCCAACCCTCCCCTAACCCTCCCCCCAACCCCAACCCTCCTCCTCTCCCTCACCTGCGAACACTGCTCCTGGAGACTCGCTCCCCCCAACCCTCCCCCCTAACCCCCAACCCCCCCCAACCCCCCTTCCCCCTAACCCTAACCCCCAACCCCCAACCCTCCTCCTCCTCCCTCACCTGCGAACACTGCTCCTGGAGACTCGCCAGCCGGGCCTCCAACCCCTCCTGCCGGAACAGCCGCAGCTGCAGACGAGAGGCGACCAAAGCATAGATGAGAAGAGCCTCGTCGGTCGCCACGCGGGAGTCCACCAGCGCCTTCACCTGGCTGTCGAACTCTTGCATCAGGCTCTGAAGGAGGGGAGGGAGGGGAGGGAGAAGAAGGGGGAGGTAGGGGGAGAGAGAGGAAAGGGAAAGGGAGGGAGGGAGAAGGAGAGGAAAAGATGGGTGGGAGAAGAAGGGAAAGGGAAGGGGGAGAGTGGAAAGGGAAAAGGGAGGGAGGGAGAAGGAGGGGAAAAGAGGGGAGGGAAAAGAGGAAAAGAGTGGGAGAGGAAGGTAAAAGGAGAGGAGAGGTAAGAATGAAGGGGGGAGGAAGGGAGAGAGGGAGGGAAAAAGAAAGGAAAAGAGTGAGAGAGGAAGGTAAAAGGAGAGGAGAGGTAAGAATGAGGGAAGGAAGAACAGGAGACGGAGAGAAGAGGAGAAGAGAATGGGAGGAAGGGAGAACGAGAGGAAAAGAGAGGGAGAGGGAGAGGGAAGAAGAGAAAAAGAGAAGGGGAGGAAGGGAGATGGAGAGCAGATACAAGAAGGAAGGGAAAGGAAAAAGAGAAGAGAAAAATAGAGAGAAGGAAAATGGATGAGGAAAAGAGATGGGGAAGAAGGGAGATAAACGTAGGAAGGGAGAGGGAAAGAGAGGGGAGTAGATGGGGAGAGGAAGGGGAGGAAGGGAGAAGAAAAGAGAGGGGGAGAAGGGAGGAAAAGGAGATAAAAAGGAAATAGAGGAGAGAATGAGAAGGTTGGCGAGAGGAAGAAAGAGGAGAGGTGGAAGCAAAGAAAGAGAAAAGGAGAAAAGTTAAATAGGAGAGGAAGAGAAGGCGGTAGGTGAGGCAAGAACATTAAAGCAAAGAGAGAGAAGCAGAGATAGAGCAAATAAAGTGAAGGAAAATGATATAGCGAGAACGAGATAGGGAATTAGAAAAGAGAAAGGAGGGAAAAGAAAGAATGAAAACGAGGTGGAGCAGAGATGAAGAATGAAATGAGGTACATAAGGAAAAAAATAAATAAAAGATACTGTAATAAAAACAAAAACCGCCGATATAAAAGTATTAAAACATGTATGAAGCAGGTTATCATTACATTGCTGTCATTAATAAACATCCATTAATTACCTATCTAATCCTAGAACAGAAAATAACTAACGAATAACTTAGATAATCTTACTTGAACTTCAAGGGGCTGTAGACTAATATCAAGGGATACTTGTCCTAAAAATAACTTTTTTTCCTGTCGCTCTCCCTTTCTCCCGCCTTTTTCCCTCTCCATCCCCCTCCCTCCCCCTCTCTTTTCCTGTGTCCCTTCCTCCCTCTCTCTTTCCTCTTTTCCTATGTCCCTTCCTCCCTTCCGCTCTCTTTACCTCTCCTTCTCCCTCTCACCTGCTCTTTTCCCCCCTTCTTCTCCCTCCTTCCCCTCTTTTTTCCTATGCCCCTTCCTCTCTCTCTCTTTCCTCTTTTTCTCTCCTTCCCCCTCTCCCCCCTCTCCTTTCCTATGTCCCTTTCTCCTCTCTTTCCTCTTTTCCTCCCTTCCTCTCTTTCTTTCGTGACTTTCCGTGACTTGGATTGACCCTAATAAGTAACCATCCTTGACCTTACCGTAGTAACTGCCTCTCCTGACCTTACCTTATCTAGCCTGCCTTTCATTAATACAAAAACTAATCTCTATCTAACTTTGCCTCGATAGGTAACCTACCTAACGTTCTCTAACCTTACCCTAGCAACTATTTTAACTTTACCTCTCAATAACTAAACTCTTCCGACTATTTTATTCCGTTCCTTTACCTAATAACTGAACTCTCCCGACCTTCCTTGGCCTTATTTGATCACGGTCGACCTCGCTTGGCCTTACCTGAACTCCACCAACCTATCTTGACCTTTCCCGATTCCTTTATTCATTTATTTATTTACTTTAATACCTACCCTGACCTTCCCTAAGCCCTTTTCGACCTTTAATACCTTCCCTAACCCTGTTTGACCTCCTCATACCTTTTCGGACTTTCCCTGAATTCTTTTCGACCTCCAAAGGCCTTTCCTGACCATCCCTAAGCTCTTTTCGATCTCCTAACACCTTTCCTAACCTCCTTTGACCTTCACTGACCTTCCTTAAACCTTTTTCGACCTCCAAACACCTTTCCTAGCCTTAGACCTTCACTGACCTCCTTAAACCTTTTTTTCGACCTCCTAACACCTTTCCTAACCTGCTTAGACCTTCTTCCTTAAACCTTTTTCGAGAACCTCCCTCCCTTAAACACCTCCAAACACCTCCCAACCTCCTTAGACCTTCACTGACCTTCCTTAAACCTTTTTCTACCTCCTAACCTTTCCTAACCTCCTTAGACCTTCACTGACCTTCCTTAAATCTTTTTCGACCTCCTAACACCTTTCCTAACCTCCTTAGACCTTCACTGACCTTCTTTAAACCTTTTTCGACCTCCTAACACCTTTCCTAACCTCCTTAGACCTTCACTGACCTTCCTTAAACCTTTTTTCGACCTCCTGACCTTCACTGACCTCCCTTAAACTTTTTTTCGACCTCCTAACACCTTCCTAACCGAGACCTTCACTGACCTTCCTTAAACCTTTTTCGACCTCCAAACACCTTTCCTAACCTCCTTAGACCTTCACTGACCTTCCTTAAACCTTTTTTCGACCTCCTAACACCTTTCCTAACCTCCTTAGACCTTCACTGACCTTCCTTAAACCTTTTTCGACCTTTAACCTTCACTGACCTTTTTTAAACCTTTTTCGACCTCCAAACACCTTTCCTAACCTCCTTAGACCTTCACAAACCTTTTTCGACCTCCTAACACCTTCCTAACCTGACCTTCACTGACCGACCTCTTTTCCTAACCTCCTTAGACCTTCACTGACCTTTTAAACCTTTTTTCGACCTCCAACACTTTTCCTAACCTCCTTAGACCTTCACTGACCTTCCTTAAACCTTTTCGACCTTCTGACCTCCTTAAACCTTTTCGACCTCCTAACACCTTCCTAACCTATTCCTTAAACCTTTTTCGACCTCCTTTCCTAACCTCCTTAGACCTTCACTGACCTTCCTTAAGACTTTTTCGACCTCCTAACACCTTTCCTAACCGCCTCAGACCTTCACTGACCTTCCTTAAACCTTTTTCGACCTCCTAACGCCTTTCCTAACCTCCTTAGACCTTCACTGACCTTCCTTAAGCCTTTTTTTCGACCTCCTAACACCTTTCCTAACCGCCTCAGACCTTCACTGACCTTCCTTAAACCTTTTTCGACCCTAACAAAGACCTTACCCTTGACCTCGACTTTCACCTTCCTTAAACGACCCTAATTTCCTAACCTCCTTAGACCTGACCTTCCTTAAACCTTTTTTTCGACCTCCTAACACCTTTCCTAACCCCCTCAGACCTTCACTGACCTTCCTTAAACCTTTTTTCGACCTCCTAACACCTTTCCTAACCGGACCTTCCTTAAACCTTTTTTCGACCTCCAAACACCTTTCCTAACCGCCTCAGACCTTCAACGACCTCCCGTGACCTTACCTTGATCGTCGGCCTGATCCTCTCGAGCTGCAGCGTGAGGGTGGTGGCATGCGCTCGCCGACGCCTCTGCTCCTCCTCCTGGGCGGTGCGCCACTCCCTCCACGCTCGAGCCTCCGCCCACGTCCAGTCCTGCCGCGGTTTCTGGAGCTGGAGGAGGGAGGGAGGGAGGGAGGGAGGGAGGGAGGGAGGGGGGAGGGAAGGAGAGAGGGAGGGAGGGAGGGAGGAGGGAGAGGGAGGGGGAGGAGGGAGGGAGGGAGGGTAGAGGGGGGATAAAGGGAAGGAGGAGGAAGAGAAGTTGAAGATTTAGGAGAGTGGAAGCAAGTAAGGGGAAGGAGTAAAGAGGAGGAGAGAAGAGGTAGAGAGGAGGCAATGGAGGCCGTGAGAAAGGCATAGAGGGACATAGAAGGAAGGGAGAGGGGGAGAGAAAGAGAGAGAGAGAGAGAATTACCAATATATGCATGTAGATATGGCAGTACAAAAAGCAACGTCAGGTATGGACAGTAATCAATACAATAATCATCAAAACACCTCCAACAATCAGTCTTTTAACAGGATCTCGCCTCCCGTTCCTTCGCAGCTCCTTCTCACGCCCACACGCCCACCCGCCCATCCCTCCCTCACCTGCACGTGCCTCCTGTCCTCCTGGAGCTCCTTGCCCTTCCCTCCAGGTGGGCGGGGACCGGAGAGGAAAGCCGCCCTCGCCTCCGCCCACGTGACATCCGAACTGACGGAGGCCGGGGACTGGGTCGTGGCGTCGAGGGGGCGGCGTCGGAGGTGGAGGAGGGGGAGGAGCCAAGGCGGACGGTGGGCGGGGCCTCGCTGCTCGCGCTGTCGTCGGAGACCTGGGGGAGGGAGGGGAGGGGAGGGGAGGGGAGGGAAGAGGAGGGAGAGGAAGAGGGAGGGAAAGGAGTAGAGAAGGAAGGGAAGAGTGGATGGGGGAGGGGAGGGAAGGGGTGGAGAAGAAAGGAGAGGGGAGGGAAGGGGAGGGGAGGGGAGGGAAGAGGAGGAGAGGCAAGCAAGCAGGAGGGGAAGGAGTAGAGAAGGGAGAAAGAGAGGAGAGGAGAGAGAGAAAGGAAGGGGTGGAGAAGGGAGGAGAAGGGAGGGAAGAGGAGGGAAATGAGAGGCAAGAAAGCAGGAGGGGGAAGAGAGGAGGAAGAGGGAAGGAGAGGAGGAGTGGAGAGGGAAGGGAGGGGAGGGAAGAGGAGGAGAGGCAAGAAAGCACGAGGGGAAGGAGTAGAGAAGAAAGGGAAGAAAGGAGGGGTGGAGAAGGGAGGGGAGGGAGGGATAGGGGAGGGGAAGGAGTAGAGAAGGGAAAAACAGAGGAGGGGAGGAGGAGGGAGGGAAAGGAGGAGTGGAGAGGGAAGGGAAGGGGTGGAGAAGGGAGGGGAGGGGAGGGGAGATAAGGAGAGGCAAGGAAGCAGAAAAGGAAGGGAAGAGAGCAGGAAGAGGGAGGGAAATGAGGAGGGGAGAGAGAAGGGAGGGAAAGGAAAAGGGGTGGGTAGGGAAGAGGACGAAAAGGGATTCAAATGAAGACGAGGAGGGGAGAGGGAAGAGGAGGAGAGGGAAAGAAAGAGAGGGGGAAGGGAGGAAAAAAAAGAGAAGGGGAAGGGAGGGAAAGGAAGAGAGGAGGGAAGGGAGGGAAAGGAAGAGAGGGGGAAGGGGAGGAACGAAAGAGAGGAAATAAAAGAAGGGAGGGAAAGAGAGGGGAAGGGAGGGGAAATAAGAGGGGAGGGGTGGGGAAAGAAGAAGGGAGGGAAGAGGAGAAAAGAGAGAAAAGAGGAAAAGAGGATTAGATGAGATACAAGTATGGTTAGAGGAAAACCCTTTCAACTCTTTCTTTCAACGATCTTTTAACAGGAACAACATACAACTAGAGAAAAAATACATATAAGAAGCACATGTTTAGAAGAATCAAAATATGATCAACTTTTATATATACAAATACAGATACATACAGTAACTATCAATCTATTTTATCTATCTTTAATCTATCTATATAATATGTCTAATCTATCTATCTATATCTATTGTCTATCAAATAAACCAAACTATCTAATTCCTCTATCTATCTATCTATCAAACGATCCAGCCACCTACCTGTGTATCTATCTATTTATCCATCTATCAATCTATCTATCTAATTTATCTATCTATCCATCTTTCATACGAACCAAACTATCCATCTGATTCATCTATCTATCTATCATCTATCTATCTATCTTTCTATCAAACGAACCAAACTATCCATCAAATTAATCTATCTATCTATTTATCTATCTCTCTAGCTTTCTATTAAACAAACCAAACTAATTCATCTATCTATTGATCTATTTATCTATCTATCTTTCAAACGAACCAAAATATCCATCAAATTAATTTATCTATCTATTTATCTATCTCTCTAGCTTTCTATTAAACAAACCAAACTGTCCATCTAATTCATCTATCTATCTATCAAACGAACCAAACTATCCATCTAATTCATCCATCTATCTACTATCTATCTATCTATCTTTCTATTAAACGAACCACTCTAAATATCTAAATCTATCTATCTCGAACCAAACTATTAATCTAATTCATCTATCTATCTATCATCTATCTCTCTATCTTTCTATTAAACGAACCAGTCTAATTCATCTATCTATCTATCTATTTATCTTTCAAACGAATCAAACTATCCACAAACTATCCATCAAATTCATCTATCAGCTATCTATCTATCTATCTATCTTTCTATCAAACGAACCAAACTATCAATCTAATTCATCTATCTATCTATCTGCCTATCTATTTATTTATCTGTCTTTCTATTAAACGAACCAATCTAATTCATCTATCTATCTATTTACTTATCTATCTATCTTTCTATCAAACGAACCAAACTATCCATCAAATTCATCTATCTATCTATCATCTATCTCTCTATCTTTCTATTAAACGAACCAAACTATCCATCTATCTATCTATCTATCTTTCATCAAACCCAAAACTATCCACAAACTATCCATCAAATTCATCTATCTATCTATCTATCATCTATCTATCTTACTTCCGTTTCCTCGACAAAAAGCAGGAGTTCCGGCCTTTCCTCCGGCATCCACGTCGGGTCGTACTCTCCCTCGTCCTCTGCTTCGGTCTGTGAGGGGGAATGAGGGGGAGGGAGGGAAGGGAGAGAGGGATGGGGAGGGAGAGAGGAGGAGAGTGGGGGGAGGGAGGAGGGAGAGGAGGAAGGAGGAGAGGGGGAGAGGGAGGCGGGAGTAGGAGGGTGAGATAAGGAAGGAGAAGGGGATGGGAGGGAGGTGGGGGTGTGAGGGAGGGAAGGGAGAGGGGAGAGTGGGGGGAGGGAAGGGAGAGGAGGTGTGGGGGTGAAGGAAGGGAGGGAGAGGAAGGAGGGGAGGAGAGTGGGGGGAAAGAGGGATAAGGGGAGGAGAGGAAGGAGGAAGGGAGGGGGAGAGAGGGAGAAGAGGGTAGGGAGAGGGAGGAGAGTGGAAGGAGGGAGAGGAGAGGAGGTGTGGGGGTCAAGGAGGGGAGGGAGAGGAAGGAGGTGTGAGGGGGAGGGAGGAAGAGCGAGGAGGTGTGAGGGAGGGGAGGGGAGAGGGGAGGGAGGTGTGGGGGTGAAGGGAGGGAGGGGAGGGGAGGAGAGTGGTGGGTGAGGGAGGGAGAGGGTGGTGGGTGAGGGAGGGAGAGGGGAGGGGAGGAGAGTGGTGGGTGAGGGAGAGGAGCGTGAGGGGTGGGGAGGAGGTGTTGGGGTGAGGGAAGGTGGGGGTGAAGGAAGGGGAGGAGGTGGGGTGAGGGAGGGAGAGGGGGAGGTAGTGGAGAGGGAGGAGAGGAAGGAGGTGGGGGTAAGGGAGGAGGGAGAGAGAGGGAGAAGGTGGGGGATGAGGGAAGGGAGGGAGGAGGGGAGTGGGAGGGGTGAGATAATGGAAGGAGGAGGGGAGGAGGAGAACGGAGGGAAGAGAAAGTGAGAAGGGTAGAGATGGAAGGGGAGTAAATGAGGGGGGGAGGGAAGGAGGGAGAAGGGGAGAGGGGAGTGGAGGGAGAGGAGGAGAGAAGTGCGAAGGGAGGGAGGAGGGCGGGGAGAAAAAATATATTTCGGGGCAGACTATGTTCCACCACATCACTAATGTTTTAACGATCACAACCTGGCTTTAATAATATAATAATAATAGAAAAGAATATATATTTCCACACTTTGCTAATGTCTCTAACAACTACAATCTGGTTTTAATAATGATAATAATAATAATAATAGAAAAAAAAATCCACACATCACTAATGTTTCTAACGATCACAACCTGGCTTTAATAATAATGATAATGATAATAGAAAAAATATTTCTACACATCACTAATGTTTTAACGATCACAACCTGGCTTTAATAATAATGATAATAATAGAAAAAAAACAATAGGGAAACTTTACCTTGGTTATGTTGCGTGGCGAAGCGGGGGGTTTGATCCCTGGGGGGTTGGCCGCTCCTGCGCTCTCTCTCAGGCTCATTAACTCAGCCTGAAGAATAAACATTTGACTTGGCTTTTGTGCGTGTTTTTTTTCTGTGTAAATCTCTCTCTCTCTCTCTCTCTCTCTCTCTCTCTCTCTCTCTCTCTCTCTCTCTCTCTCTCTCTCTCTCTCTCTCTCTCTCTCTCTCATTCTGTACATCCACCACCTGGCATACTGGTGGCAGCGGTGGGATGATTGCCACCCGTGTGACATACTAGTTCCAGTGACCTCAAATTCCTCCAATTCCCTTTAAGGTCATGTTTTCTAAGGACAACCAATCACACTGCCTGCTGAGATGACCAATCAGGGATGGCCATTCCTTTGACCCCTGACTTCAAGCTTGACCTCTTGCCACCCAAGTCAGTGTCTATTCAGTATGCAGCGCGTCTACAGCAAGCTACCTTAGACTACACTTGGGCCTCAACCTTGGCTGCGAGGGAATTCTCATTATCCCGGTTGCTTCACTGCACAAACGTGTCATTGCACATCATGCTACCATTTTTCGCTTTTCCTATGAATTAGACAACAATAAGCATATGATAAGTATTGAGAATTTCCTTATCTGCTTACGTCAAATAGGTACTTCTTATATCAAGGAAAGGAAATCCCTCTGAGACCCTCTCTTTTTCCTTCTTTCTCTCTCTCTCTCTCTCTCTTCCCTCTGTCTCCCTTACCCTTCCTCCCTACCTATCCCCCTCTCTCCCTCCCTCCTCTCTCTCAAATCCTCCCCATCCACTTATCTCCCCTCCTCCTCCCTCCCTCCTCCCTCTGTCTCTCCTTCCTCCCCATCCCCTATCTCCCTTTCTCCCTCCCTACCCCTCTCTCCTTCTCTATCTCCCTACCCCCTCTCTCCTACCCCCTCTCTCCTTCTCTATCTCCCTACCCCCCTCTCTCCCTACCCCCTCTCTCTTCTCTATCTCCTACCCCCCCCTCCCTCCTTCCCCTCCCTCCTTGCCTTCAGCTGCCGTTCCCTCCGCGTGAGTCGATGGACCTCCTCGATGACGCGCCCCTTCTTCTGGTGGGCGCCGTCGAAGCGGGCGTTGAAGGCGTCCTTGAGGCGTCTCGTCATGAACTGGGGGATGCGCTCACCGTTAGCCTCATCGTCATTGAATTGTTGTAATCGATAAGTAATTGTCATTGTCAGAGCATCATCGTCAACTTCTCGTTACCAAATCATCATTATTAAGTTGTCATAATCATCAGATGATCATCATTATGTACTCATCATTATCAAATCATCCTTATCAAGTTATTATTATCTAATCATAGTTTTCACCATAACCAATCGAAACTTTAGATAGAACGTCACTTCCGAAAACGAAAGGAACAAGATATAAAATGTAACAACGTGAATACACACACACACAAACGTACATGTGTGTGTGTGTGTGTGTGTGTCTGTCTGTGTGCGTGTGTGAGCAATGAAAATCAACAACAGCCAAAACTTGCAAGAAGAAAATTACCTCCCCCTTTAACTGACCGTAATGAGAACCAGCTGTTTCTCGACCTTCTCCCTGCACGTGAGGTCGAGCTGGGGGTAGAGGAGCTCCTTGTACTCGCCCTCGGTCAGCTCAAGGAGGAGGTGCTCGTCCTCGTCCCCGAAGTCGTCCTGAGAACTTGAGGACTTGAAGGATTTCACGCGTTTTTTCTCCTCACTTTGTCCTCCTCGAAGCTCCTGTAGTCTGGAGGTAGGGAAGTAGGACTGTTTATGTGTGCGTGTGTGTGTTCTTAGGTGTGGCTGGGCCTGTCTGTCTTTCTCTGTCTGTTTGTCTTTCTCTGTCTGTCTATCTGTCTGTCTGTCTGTCTTTCTCTGTCTATCTGTCTGTCTTTCTCTGTCTGTCTGTCTGTGTTTATTTCTGTCCTTCTTTCTCTGTCTGTCTGTTTGCCTGTCTGTCATTTTTTCCGTTTGTCTGCCTTTCTTTCTTTGTTTATTTGTCTGCCTTTCTTTCTCCGTTTATGTCATTGCTATTCTGCCTTTCTTTCTCTGCCTGTTTGGCTGTCTGTCTGCCCATTTTTTCTGTCTGTCTGCCTTTCTTCCCGTGTCTGCTTGTCTGTTTGTCTGCCTTTTCTCTCTGTCTGTCTGCTTGCCTTCCTTTTTCTCCGTGTCTGCCTTCCTCTCTATCTGTGTGTTTGTCAGCCTTTTCTCCCTATGTCTGCCTTTCTCTGTCTGTCTGTCTGCTTATCTGTCTTTCTCTGCCTGACACCTTTTCTCTCTGTTTGTTTGCCTGACTTGTATGTCTGTCTGTTTCTCTTTCCGTCTTTTTGTCTATGTCTGTTATCATTATCATCATCATCATCATCATCATCATCGTTATTACCATTATCATTATCATTATTCTTACCTTGCTTTCACCGCCGCCACGACCTTCCGCCAGGCCTCTGCTCTCGGAACCTCCACTGGGTAGTTCTTTACACTGACGTCGCTGCTGATACACTGAAGAGAGACAAGGAGGTGGTCGTGTATTTATGTGAGGGTGTAAGGTGAGGTGTTCAGATTATGTTTTTTAGGAAAGTTTCTTTATAGGGTATACAGGGTGATGTTTAGATTTTTTTTTTTTTTGAGAGAGAAAAAAAAAAAAAAATATGTTGAGGATAATGGCTGCGATATTATAATACATAATAATAAATATGATAATAATAATAATAATAATAATGACAACTATAATGATAATAACAACAATAATAATAGTAAGAAAAACAGCATTACTAATGACAAATGATAATGATATGAGGATTTGACGATAATGACGACTATGATCATGATAATGATAATGATCATAACAATGAGTGACAATGACAGTGATAATAAGAACAACAACAGCAACAATAATAATAATAATAATAATAATAATAATAATAATAATAATAATAATAATAATAATAATAAATATCAATAATAAAATACACAAATCTACTTCCACCATCAATAACCCCCCCACCCCGGGCGACCCACAACTCACAAAGAGCGACCTGGACTTCACTTCCAGGTTGTCCCAGGCGGCGTTCTTCAGGTGGTGGCACTGCAGGAGGCGCAGAAGCCGCTCCCGCTCGACCTCGCGCACCACGCCGCTCTCCCTGGGGGCGTAGGGGCGTGGCGGTGAAGGAAAAGCGAGAGGGAAAGGTTGTTAAAAGAATGGGAATGAAAATAAAAGGTTGTAGGTTGATTGATAGGTAAGATATGAAGTAAATATGAATTAAATCGTAATTTAGAATCAGGTAGGCCTATGGAGAGAATAAGCATAAGATTTCAAATGTGATATTGGCCAGACTTTGGATAAAATGACTGGAACATGTATCTGAAGCATATATGAAAATTAACTGCATTTGCATACCCAAAAAGGAGTTATAGAAAAAAAAAAAAAAAGTATATACATACATACATGCATGCACACACACACACACAAAAATAAAAAAAACACACGCACACACACACACACACACACACACACACACACACACACACACCACACACACACACATATATAATATATATATATATATATATATATATATATATATATATTAGGCCCTGGCCAGGGCCCCCGCCGTAAAACCTGTAAAACCATAAACCATAACCAGAGACCTACTTAAGTTCACTTTTTCTCAGCAACCACAAAGAGTTGGAGTTCTTG